AATGATCTGGGTTACTTCAATATTACACAAATGCAAAATTATCATTTGTACAATTTTCTCAGGTGCCCAACATGGTTTTCATAGACTGTTTTTTTTTGAGCAGTTTATATGAATAGTTGTTATGTTGAGCAGTGTATACACGCTTTGGTTGAGATTGTAGTAGGGAGAAATGTCATTAGTGTCAAATACGTCATCATTATAAAAAATGAAACTCCTGGACACCGACATCAAAGGGACCGACGCTGAGTGAAACTACTGTATACAGAAATACTGTGGCCAGGTCCGAATTCGTAACAATGTCATATATATTGAATCTCAACGTGGAAAACATGATACAGACTGGGTGAATGTAAACGGAATAAGGCTAATTTCACATATAGTTGTCTATGAAGAATCGCTAACGTCTTTTGATTTCTATTTTGAAAAGAAAAACTGAATAGTATCAATCTTATCATTACCTTTGGGGCATATTTTCAATTTTGAACAACTCCTCGATTGGGATTGGAGGTCAAGCAATTGAAATTTATCATTGATTTCTAGGGAATAGTAGATATTGAGAAACAAAGTTATATAGAAAATCTGCCAATAAACACGTGCCAATAAACACGTGGTCACAACTCAGCTCCGGTTGTTCTTTTTGTGCAGGGTTTGATGATTTAAATTAATGAAACTGAAATAAGGTATGAAATAAAGGGCAGATCGAAACAGCTATATGTAGTGGATCATGGATACAACGTTTTGACTCTGTCCATCACCTTAACACAATCAGAGTTTTAGAACTGTGAACTAACATAATTCAGTTACTTCACAAAACATATTGGTATGTTATCTAGGTTGCTATGGACTCTTGTAATTCTCATCGCCGCCATAGGAGCTGTAGCTGTGTCGATATCCAATTTGAGCAGGTTTTTGGCAAATCCGACAGTGGTGTCAATTGAAAAAGATTACAGGAACTGGAATAATCACTTCCCCACCGCAACAGGATGTTTCATAAATAAAGTTGATCTAAATAAAGCTGAATCCTTCATTTACAGGTGAGTTAATAACAATGGAAATGAGACAAGTAGCAGCAGTTGAGGATCACTTATGTTTGTTTCTCTTCAATGTGTTGTATCACTGGTTAATATGTCCCAACTTACCTGTTTGAGGAGTTTGAAATTTCAGGCTCAAATTGATGACGATACCATATGTGGAAAACAATGGATGTTTCCCATCTGTAAATATATTAGCACAATGAATCTTTCACAAAATAACTGCAGTGTACGTGTATGTGTTAAACATGATTATTTTGTGAATGATGTACATGTAGAGAGAAGACTGTTACCGTGTGACATACCAAGACTTGTATTTGAAAACTGAGAAACTGAAATACATTCCAAACTAACAATGAAAGGTATACTTTTTCAAGAAATCATAACTTATCGAACAATTCAATATATTTTTCACACTTCCCATTAAATTAAATTCAAATATGTTTACTTGATTAAAATAAGGGTAAATTTTCGTTATGTGGACACCCGGCGATTTTGAAAAAATTTTTGACTGTACTTACGTATTTTGATGCGTAGATTAAACCTCTTATGTAGTAGCCACTATATGCAAAATACTGAGCCATAAATACAATTATATTGGATATTTTCTTCATAATGCATAATTTAGAATATCTGTCAAATTCTCATAAAAATTGATTCAATCAGCATTCAATATAGACTAACGTTGTCTTTCACACTAAGTAATTTGGACGAATCGTTCAAAAGTAATCACGATAAGATTAATTGACGTAACGCAGTATGCCATTACGCATCGCGTTTACTGTAAGACGACGGGAAACGATGCGCGGGGGTAAAAGGGCGGCTCAAGCAATGAAGCGCCGAGAACGTGACCCGAACGCAGGGAGACGCGTGAGGGCAGACATCGTTGACGGTTGTGTTTGTTTTGCGAATTTCTTTATAGGTGACATAATTCGATTCTCGAATCTATCCATTACCTAGTGCAGTTGGCATATTTTTTCAGTTGCTGTATTTTTAAAGTAAAATAATAAATTACTAGCTGTTGGCCGCTCTTATATTAACATATAGCCGAAGCTTCTGAACCTAGAATCTTTAAATATGCAAGCAAGTTCTTTTTATAGCATAAATAAGCATCAAGAATGGGAATCAGGAGTCTCCATCCCAAGAGGGAAAAATTGGAGTTCAAAGATTTCATTGAATTTCGTCAGTTTTGAAGTTCGAAACCAGAAGTTTTGGGTTGATAAAAAAATATTTTAATTATTTGTTTAAAATGGTCTGTTACGAAACTTAATGTAACAAACCAAATTCTACGAGGGCGAAGACGTATCATACTAGTAACAACTAGTATCACATAATTTTTAAAAAAACTCAATTAACTTGCGAAAACATTTTGTTGAAAATTCATAAATTTCTGAAAATTTCAGTATCGGTGAAATGTTGATGATGGTGTATTACAGAACTGGTTAGCAAAAATGTCATTAGGAGAAAAATAATCAATCAACATTTTCATTATATATTATATATAATCAGTGAACAAGATGGTTAGTAGTTACTATCTATAAAATCACTTTTGAAAGATTTTTAAATAACCTCAATTCGACTCTAGAACTCAATGAGTGACTTGTGAGGCACTTGAAGGTGTGTGTTCAAACGGTTTCTTTTTTGTTTTATCAAAAACTCGCGAGGCAACGCGAAAAATGAGATTGACCCAACTTAGTACACATGCTGATAGATGGAGCAAGAATCAAAATCTGTCGCTCGTCTTTTATTCAGATCTAAAATTGTTTCATCGTTATGTAACAAATCTTTCAGTTAATATCAGTTCGTTCCCAAATTTAAATAACATTGACAATTGAAGTACCAATTTGACATTGCCAAGCAGTATCACTTTAACTCAGCACCTCTGTGAATGGGTAGTGCCGTAGATCGAGAGTTTTTGACAAAACATTCAACATGGGAAAGGGGTTAAAGTGATCACATCAGGGATATATCATGCATCTCCCGCATTTCCTTCATTCTTAATCTCACACAATGTAAAATACCCACTTTCCAAGTTCGTCTTTGGACGCATGATTGAAAATATTCAACATTTTTTAGGCAAAAATGTTCATAGAATCAGTGTGTCAACTTATATTCATGCTGCCGGTTTTGGTAGGCATATGAAGGCCATTCAAATGTTGAATGTTTTCAGTACTCATCACAAGTCAGTTCACGAATTAAGATTTGAATTTATTTTTTATCATTGAAGACGGTGGCGACTGACCCCTGAGGATGAAAGGTATCCGTATTACCTCGAATTTGTCAAGCTTGTAACAAACTCAACATTTTACAATTTTGATTTGCTGACTCCCTTCCAAAAGGATCCAACTTTAAGGGATGTCGATATGGGACAACTAGCAGTGGAGGTAAGAATAAAATTGCAGTATCTTCCAGAATGTTACAGGAATATTTTTATGATTTCGACATATAAAATGACACTTTTCAAAAATGTTGCAAAGTTCAGAATGCCTTCTTTTTTGTAATTAGTTATAAAACGTTTATCTTAAGTAGAATATTCTTCTGGATATCGTGATTTTGTTTTAGATTAATTTTTTTTTATTTACGAAAGACCCTTTATGTTCGAAGAGCTGCCGAATTTTTGAAGAAAAAAATCATCTCGACTACTATTTGAGCTGAGACTCAAAAATAATAAACACGCTCCGAAAATAACATACTTTTTGGGTGCCATTTTGAAAATTCACTAATACAACCCCCCTTCCAGGAATGCGTCCCGAAGGTCAATTTTAACAATATTTGATTTTTATATCGTACTTCATCAAAAAAATAATCATTTTAAAAACAAATATTTTTGTGAGTTGAGTGTACTGAAAGACATATTCGTGCCAAATTTCAACTATTTTGTTGTGAATTTGGCGAAATTAAAAATATTTAATTTGTCCTTCATTTCGTATTTTGATTGCTTATATCTGACCCAGAATTCAGACTCATAAGCTCCCAACTTTTTGTATCCATTATTTGTATTATTATTATTTTCATATTTCAGGTTCATCCAAACCTTTCCGGAACTTTGGTGACGATAGAACATCACCCTGAAAAATTAAGTTTATTACTCCATTCTTGTGTATTCTGATTTTGAAAAACTCAATAAATCACTGATAATTGATATGATCAGTGTTTTAGCTACGTGAATTGTGCCAAGGTATATTACTATACATTACCTTCGACAAATTAATCGACACAGAACAATGTATTTTGATGTTATCATATCATATCGATAATTTTTCAACCTAAAAAAATAACATTAGGATGAAACCCATTAGAAAAGGATGATAATATGATAAAATTGAAAATAAAATGAATTACAGGTGATCTGAGTTCAAGGAGTGGAAGGGGGAGTTTTTAAGGGTGAAAAATAGTTAATCTCCTTTTCAGGAAAAACTACAAGTCGTATGTAAAAAAGTTGAATGGGAAAGTTGTAGACAATGAAAAAATCTACAACTTTTGTAACCACAATTTTTTCACATAACCTCAAAATTTATGTGAAAAATTCAATAAACTTCCTTTCCATGTTCCAAATACACTGTAATTTATTTGATTTGAAATATTCATTTTTTTCACCTCATTTTGACTAAATATCAAAAAAGCACCCTAATTATTCATCGAAAATGCTCGCGTCAAAATATCAGCGTTTTTCAAAAAATCGATGTACTTATTGTTCGTTAAATTCTCTACTTCCTGATGGTGTATAAAAAAATACATTACTATAATAAATGTTCTCAGAAAATGCAAAATATCAAAAAAAAAAACTCGAATTCAATTTTTTTTTCAATCATTATGTACAATTTCATCAAAAAAATGTGATTGCTGCAGTTTTATTCAGTTAAAAAAGTGTATTCATATAATTCTAATTACATTCATGTCATAGGAAATCTCATAAAATATAAATCTACATGTAAATCGTACTATCGAATCTAGATTATTCATCCTGATTACGTTATTGATCATAATTTTTTTTAAATGTTATTCTTGTTATTTATAAATACCTCATTTTGAATTTTAATCACTTATCCATTAGTTTTTGTCTCTTCGATGACATTTCTTCATCGATAGATTTGACAAACCTTTCCGATTCTAGTTGATCTTCGATATCTTCAAAACCATCACCTTCCTTGTCTCCAATATTATTTTCAGTCTGCATTGGTAGGTACTTCATCCACAATTTTGTCTGAATCATCAACTTCCATATTGAAGCAATTTTAATACCATGACAATTATCATACTGATGTTGACAAACTATTCCAAAAAAAATCCACTTAACTGCTGTAAACACGCGGATGTTCAATTAAAAAAATATTGTCTGCAAAATAGGTTTTTCTGGAATAACTTGGAAAATTGAGTAAGTGAACGTAAATAAATGATTTTTTTGTGGTTACAATAGTTAATAAAATTGGTTAGAATTCGTAAAATATCTGTTTTTCGTATAGTATACTTCTGATAAAAATGTTGTGAAATGTTGAAACATTTCATACAAATGAAAAAATACAGGGTGTTAATGAAACATAACCGGTTTTTCCAAGCACCCTATATATTGTTTCTTAAAAGTTGAGATTTCCAAAATTATCATAGTGATGTTGACAAACTATTCCAAAAAAAATCAACTTAACTGCTGTAAACACGCGGATGTTGAATTAAAAAAATATTGTCTGCAAAATAGGTTTTTCTGGAATAACTTGGCAATGCCGCAATGGAAATTCGGAAAAAAAAATTCCTTAGAGAGCTTCAAAAAATATGGAATGGAATGACGTATTCATATATTGGGTGTTCTATTCAAAAAAATATAACTTGGGTTGGCCACGCTCGGCTGAATCACCCAGTATGCGAGAAAATAATTTTAAATGTAAAACGTATTCATCGATATGAATAGGAAAAAAAATTGAGCAATTCAATAAATTGTTTATCCTGATAGCAATGTACCGATGGAATCTTGTTGACTCGCCCTGTATATGAGTATCTCTCTTCGATACAGCCTTCAGATTCATTTAAGTAAATTTATTTCTTTCAAATTCATCAACGAAATTTATATTGGCAGAGCAGAACAATATTTTCATCTGAATGTCGTTCAACCAAAATTTTCTTCACTTTTATGGCAGTGAAAATCCATGAATATTCTGTACAGAAATATTTCAATTTTTTTTTCATTATAAAAGTTTTCGTGAAATTGCGTGATTGAAATTATTTCCTAGGAATTTTCGTTATGATATTCTAATGATATTTAATATTTATGAGGAATTTCAAGTATCCGAATTCAAAAAATCTGTTCTTATTTATTAATAAGAATTCGAGGCGATATCAGTATGCGGACCTGAAAATGTTATTTTACCTGAATGCGAATATCTTCAGAGTATTCTGTGCCTAACATCAATTTCATTTTATAAAATATTTCAGAATTATTGTACGAAAACACACTAGACCCTTGCAGATGATCATCAAGATTTGGCCATATATTATCATATCTCGCATCTGCAACCTTTATATCATTGATAACCTGTTTTTTTCAGTGCAAGTAATCCAAAAACGTCCAATGAATTGAAATGCCACTTCCTCAATGGGGTTTGCTATGCCAGATATGACTCTGATCCTACGCTACCTCTTAAGGTATTTATTTATTAACATTTACAAATAAATTGAACATATATTCTCTCCTCTTGAAAACACAGCTTGAAATATGTTCATCGTGAACCTTTTCTCAGTGCGTAATTCATAGTAATGTAAACAAAGTTGTTGTGGTATTTTCAACGAAACAAGAAAATCCCAGTTTTTTCCTATACCTGCTAAATGGTAGTTTTAAATTATTCAAGGTGAGTTCAAACTATTTATAAATAACTCAAACGTCGTGTTCCTATTGTTTTTAAAATATGTAATGCATAGCCGAACCTCGAATGGTATTGCAATCGATCCATTGAATACTCGTTTGTTTAACCTGCATCAAATTAGATAGATTTTTCTACATTCCCCGTTTGAGGCTTTGGCCTAAAATGATCAGGTATTTTTTTCAAATCAATCGCCAAATGTGAATTTATTTACAAATAGAATAGAGACTTTCCTTCAGTCCTTGAAGATTTTTCACTTCAAAGGATTAGCTAGAACTATTTTTTTTTCTTAACCACTCTGGCATTATTTTCAAAATATACTCAATTTTCTGTAATAGAAGACTAGAACTATGTCTACAGCTTTGATATTTCCTGAAATTCAGTCACAGAAAAATAATTTTCAATTAATGATTTTTCGCAATTTTGTTACTATAAATTGTGTGCGAAAATAAATTCCATAGTTAATAAAATGTAATAGTATTTGTTTTACTGGCAACAGTATACTTCTCACGTCTTTGTCTTCAGATAACCAAACATACATTACAAGCTGCCAATGTATACTACATAGACTGAAATTTTTCGGACCTAACATAGATGACGCTCGTTTTATTGCATTCACCGCTTTTTCAGTCAAAAATAAAGAAAATGGTTTTGTTATTTTCACAACAATGCGGATAAAAAACAATTTCGTGTTTTAATTTCACACTGTTTCTTTATCGGCAAAAACCCGTACAAGTGAAGCAATGGCTTGAAAAGTGTTATAAGGAGTCCGCTCCATTAAAAACAAAAATTGAACGTTGGTTTGCTGACTTCAAACTTGGTCGTAGAAACACCGATGATGCAAAACGCAGTGGACGTCCAAATGAGGCAGTAACACCAGAAAAAATGAAAAAATCCGCAAAATCGTTTTGAATGATCTAAGAGTTGAAGTCGCGTGAATTAACTGACATTGTGTAGTTATCAAAAGAACATGTTGGCTTTATACTGCATGACCATTTGACTATGAGAAAGCTCTGCTTAAAGTGAGTACCGCGCGAGCTCACTGTTGACCAAAAACCTCTTGATGATTCTGAGCAGTGTTTGGCCGTGTTTAAACATAACAAACCGGATTTTTTGCATCGATATGTGACAATGGATGAAATATGGATCCATTACTTCACTCCGGAATCAAAACGATCGTCATCTGAGTGGAGAGCAAATGGTAAACCTCGTCCAAAGCGCCCGAAAGCACAACAATCGGCTGGAAAGGTTATGGCCTCAGTATTTTGGGATGTGCGTGTTGTAATATTCATCGATTATCTTAAGAAGGAAAATAATATCAACAGTATATATTATATAGCGTTATTGGAGCGTTTGAAGACCTAAACTGCAAAGAAATGACCGCATATGGCATAAACAATTATTTCATCGAGACAACGCACCGTATCACAAGTCAATCAAAATAATGACAAAACTACATGAATTTAACTTTGAATTTCCCCCACATCTACTGTATTCGCCAGATTTGGCTCTCAGCGACTACTGGATTCTCGCAGACCTCAAAAAATGCTCACTGGTAAGGAATTTTGCTCCAATGAAGGGGTTTTTGCTGAAACTGAGCCCTAGTTTGAGGCAAAGGATAAATCGTCCTAACAAAAGTGCTATCGAAATGTTAGAGCGGCCCTGGAATGATTGTATGGCTCTCAATGGAGATTTCGTTGATGAATACAGCCAATTTTGAACGAACAAAAAACAAATGTTATTTCTTAGGCCCGGGACTTTTCAGGCCATGTGTTATATTAATAGACGACAAGAAGTTATATGAAGACCTAGAGGAAATTCCAGCTTGCACTGAAATATACAAGTTCCAGAAGCTCAATACATCTGGCTACATTTATTTGAGTATTTGGATATCAACATGTCTTTTCACAATCACCAACTTATCAGGAACTTGAAACAAACATATTCAGCAGAAATGAAACATTTCTCACCTATATGGAGCTCCACCTTCAAACTTTCCCCGAGTCCGCTGAATTTTATCCAGAAGTCATCGACCCTCTTGCTTGGAGACCCAACTATTACAAACTCTTGGTAGTCTGGAACTCGAAATAAGATTTGGAGTTGTGTTTATTTTATACAAGGCATTTCAGCTGAACGGTAGACAAAACAAAATTCAAGGCTATTTTCTATAACAAGAGACCAAAACTATGTATATAGCTTCAATAGTTCCTAAAATATAGTCGAAAGGAATTCGTAGTACCAAACTTTTCGTTTGCTACTGCAACAACCATCTTTAGTAGTTTATACGTTGACTGCGAGAACGAAAGTAGAATCTTGAAGTCTCAGCAACTACTGACTGAGGAGCTCTGTGTTCACTCGTATTTATACTGCTAGGGGGAAGTTGAGGTGAGATATCCATGAGAATGTTCATATTGACTGGTCCACATTTGTGCTAAATTGTTCTGATCAGTTCACGTTGTTGATAGTTGTGCTGCTGGGTATGACGTCGATTGGTATTATAGTCTAGTCGATTTCTGGCCTTCTTAAAAACCTAATACCACGTTATGTTGACTCAAATACCTTTTTTTTATTATTATTGTTGGGATAGCCAATGGATTATCTATGATAATGGATTTTTTTACAACAAGTACCACAAAATGGCAACAACAATCAAAATGTCACTGGATAGACTCTGCGGAGTTTGAAGAGAATATATAATTTTTTTCTATTTGTCCTTTTTTTCGGATGATATTCTTCTCACCCGGGGCTGAAAATTCCATCACTAATATTGTCCAGATGGTCGGGAAGAAATGCATCAGGCTTATAAGCGTGTATGAGTCCGAGGGTAGGGAAAAAATATTTCCTATGAATTAATTACGCACTTACGCATTTCCTACAACAGATTCAATATATGTGGAACTTAAGGCAACATCAGTGTTTTGTCAATACTGTAAAAGTGTCGTAGTTGAGGTTTATTCTCACTCGACACTCTTAGGGCCGCGTTATGTCGATGGATATAAACTGAAACTACATATGCTGGACTACTGACCAGAAGTGTATTGGGATATCCCGATAAGCCGAGCAGCAGATCCTGCACCCAGTGTTAGGAACATCTATACCCATCAGGCAACTACGGTAGACTAAAGTGTGAAAAACATCATCGTAGCAGACCATAATGAACCCTTCAGTTTTCGACTTTAGTCCTCTCGACCCGAGGAGAGAGTGTCGTTCAGTGTAGAACACTGAACTATTACTATTACTATCAATATTACCATTATCAGAATTATAAAATATCAATTTGCTCGAAGTTAATAGACACACAAATAAATATTCCTTGTTCTTTTGAAGGCATCAGAAACGGGTACAGAAATAATAATATAGATAATGTAGGTTTTTATACTAAAATGATAAAATGATAAATTTGTTTGGTTAAGAATATTCAGCGAACTCCAGCAAACTCTTCATCTTTTTGTATTTTTTTCTAATATTAATAGAAACAATCATTTATTTTGATTTCCGTTCAATTATTTACATATCTCCCGCAGTACTGGTGAATTTCTACTACATAAAAATGCATCCTTTACTACTTCACTTCACTACTTTATTTTTCAATTCTGTTACCATGGAAATTAAAAAAATGTCTGTTGTTTCAAATCAACTAAATTTTTCAGATCACAATAAACATCATGCCAATATGTTGATATCAATATTGATAATAATATAACGTACAACATTCATTCAACTCAGCTCGCAGAAAACAGGTTGAATCAGAAGTAGTAAAAATTATCATTTGATGAATATGTGACTATTTCTATTAAAAAACCACTCTCTGAATGAATAATTTTCATGTTTATTCCTTACAGTACTATATTCATTCCTACATAGAATTTCCCCACACTACTTCCAAAGTTTCTCATGAAGTGGAAAAAGGAGACGAAATTGAAATCAACTACAGAATGATTGAGGCGGATTCTTCACCAGATATCAAATACCTCAGTCCTTCCCAGAGAATGTGTAGGTTCGACGATGAGCCTATCACCAACGATGTTACCGGATACAGCCTCAGCATATGCTATACGGTTTGTCGTTACAAACTGGCTCTCAAACTGTGTGGATGTAAACCGTTCTTTTATCATTTTCTAGGTAATTCATTTTTGTAATAGACCGCTAGCTCTCCCCAAATTTCAAGGGGATCATATAATAACTTAAAAAATATACGTGGGCTGTTCAAAAAATAAGTAGAATGTTCAAATTTCGTGCGTGTTCGACGATTTTCTGCTATCGAAAAAAAAAAGCTGAAGGACATACCAAAAAGTGCATATCAGAACTATTTCGAGGATTGAGAAAAAACTCTTGCACGAGTGTATTATATTTGAGGGGGGCTATTTTGAAGGGGATGAAATATAAATTGTTACAAGTTTTTTGGGAGAAATGAAAATTCACCTTATTTTTTGAACAGACAGCGTATATCTGTTGTAAGTGAGGATCTTGGAAGGGTGAAAACTATTATCCAATTGTAGGTGTGATTTGTCAAAAGTTTTTGTACGGCTTTCATAAATTTATGTACCAACCAATTGGTGCTCGAATGTCTCCTAACTAAACAAGTAGTATTTCATCAGTTCGGACTTCCACTGTCCAGAAAATTTAATCACGGAAGTTGAAAAGCGACCTGCAATATATAATGAAGTATTAAAATAATATTCCGATGTTAATATAATAGCTTTCCCTGATAACATTCTTCGATACTTTCAATACAACGCGTCAATATATTATGTACATCAACAACTCTCCCGACTTTTCAGTTGGTGGTCTGCGCACCCGCACCGAACCGAACAGTTTTGTTTGAGTAGTGTGCCCCCACCCAACGCAACCAGACTAAAACTATCGCCCGATAAAAAGTTTGTAGTGTGCGCTTGCCCTAACTGAACGAAATTAAACATATATACTTCGGATCACTATGGATCGGTTTATTGTAAATATAAATTTGATTTTGAAATTTCTGGCCATAAAAAATACAAATGAATTCACACTACTACATAATTTAGAAATTATCTGAATGACCTGTTTTGGCATCTTTTACATGAAACTAATGTTATTCATGAGAAAATAGTAATATTCTATCAGTTTATGGAGTATATTCTTAATGCAATGCTAATGTAACTATACGTACTTTCCAAAATAATAAAAAATACTCACCGAGTACTAGGTACCGACAATACAGGGTGTCCCTGGACTTCCTCTTTTCCTCTCGGGAATGTATAGATGGGGTCAAAATATCACCAGTACTTCATATAACTTTTTTTCCTAAA